TAAGTTTCTCTCAAAATACTGTTTTGACTGCCAGACAGAAATGATGGAACGGACTTTTGGAAGCAAAATTTAAAAGGGAGTTTCTTTATTGTGGAAATAAGACTTAAATCAATAAATTTGATGAATTATCCTTGTTCGCTGAAAGGTACATTCAAATCAATTGTCCACAGCTGTCGTTCCCAGCCATTTCAAAACTTGGGCGGTTTGAGCATAGCGTTGTTAGGTACACACGGGTTTCGTTGCTATGGGTAATTTCATGTTATTCGATGACATGAGCGTAGTGTTTATATTTTAATTTGAACCAAGCGGGATGAACTGGTTTTTACACACTCAAACGACAGAAAAAGTACACTGCAGAAATGCCAAAAATCGACTCTTTGTTATGGTTGATCACCGGAGGTCAGGGAAGTCTATTTATACTTCATATCAACCCTACTCAAAGTTTAATTTGAAGCCACGATAGAACGAAGGTGTATTCTTCGCCAGCTGTGCACTTTGAACTCACCTATTCTAATAGATATCTTTACAGAATCTAATCTCAACGTAATTACATTCTTTGGTTCATGTCAGAACTATCCACAAAATGGATCTAATCGAACGCAACTGTCTGGCCAGGAGTGAGAAACTTGTCTACACCCTATCATTGTCCACTCTCGGAATGAATAGCTTTCCGTGGACCTCACACCTTACACCATTTTATGTACAGTTCAACAAAGTCACGTGATGTTGAGCTTCACATTTTGCTTCAGTAGTGATAGAACCCACTGAAATTTCCTATCGGTGTCATGTTTTATGGCTTATGTCCCCGATTCATTAGCGATCAGTTTTGCTGAATGCGCTACGCGGTTCGCCAATGAAGCACAACCATTGTTCGCAGGTTAAATACGAACAAACAAACGGGTATAACTCTCGAGTTGAAGAACTAAAACTGATTTCAACAAGAGTGCAAGATTTTTTTATGCGCGAAGAAAGAAACGCGCTTGTCCGAGATTTCTAGCTTAGTTTGCACGTTAGAAATCTCCAATTCTGGAGAACTCATGTCCCGAGTGACTGCACAGTTTTATCCGTCTTACCAACATTCTTGTGCACAGGCACGTTTTATGGGTAGCCTATGTTTGAGCAATTTATATGCATAAAACAAAACTACATTTAGTTTAGTAAAAATCGTTTATTTAAGGAGGGTGATGCTACTTAAATTACTACTTGTTTATGAGAAAGCCTAGGTCGTGGTAGTGACTTATTCCCAGTCTGTGGGTCGTTGTTCGTTGGAGAAACAGAAAAATTACTTAATTTTGTCTTTTTTTCAGAATATGTTCACCCGTTACTACAATACGTGAGTGATTGTGCTGTACAAGCTTTCGTCAACACACTACTCATAAGGTTGCTTAAAAC